CTTATAAGGAAGCAATACAGAGAGGTTCTGCTGGAACAGAAGTGCCATGGAATCCACACATGCTTTTCCAGTTTTGACTGAATCTCAAAACCCACCCATAACATAGCACAATGATGTCTCCAGGGTTTGAAAGGTAAGGATTCCTGACCTTGACACGATATATAACACCTTAAAACAAAACGTTGAAACATAAATAAATATAAACTTTAATAAACTGAGTCTTCAAAAATCAGGCCTCAAGATGAAGCCTATTTTCTTTTGTTTTGTTTTTTTTTTTTTGTTTTGTTTTCAAGATCACTGAGTTTGAGTGTTTCTCCCTAATTATCTAGTTAATTGTGCTTGACTGTTCCTAGCAATTTTTACTTCATTTTGTTTTATTTCACAGCACACTTCCAGAGAAGAATAAAACTTCATGGTGGGATTAAAACAAATCTGTATAATCTATGTCTATCTTAAAATTTTAATCTATTATCAACCTAACCTTCTTTCAGTTTGGAGACTGACCACATTATTTTAATAAATGTGAGCAGAATCATAATTCAATCTGAACTTGCAAACATTATCATTGTCTTTTTTGTGAAAAAGCCACACAATAGGAACAAACAAACTACAATGATATGTTTTTTAGGCAAATTCCAGGATAAGTTAGAGAATCATAGCATGATGTTTGACCTGCTAGTCTTCTATCCCTTCCAGAGCTTCAATACTGTAAGTGATAATCAATGTTTATCATGACAAGCCAAACATAATGCAAGACGGTCAGTGCTTCTGAATTGCCACTATATTAGGAGTCGTTTATTTTAGCTGTATGTAATTGTTTTCTAAAGGTTATTAACCAGCTTCCAGATAAATGCTTGTTTGCTGTACAAAAGTGTAGAGGACTACTCTGAATTCTAATGAGGTAAAATGCTACTTGCATGCTGACAGCCTACGGGCCAACAATCAGAATGGGTGTCATCAGGACGTTTCAGGTGACATAATTTCCTCACGAGTGTTTGCAAGAACTACGGTCCAGTGAATTTCAACTTCTCAGATACCTGCTCTCATGCTCTAGGGTCTAAACTGTGATCTACTTTCATTCCAAACGTCCTTTTCTTAAAGTAGTATTATCCCTTCTAGCTTCAGTGTTACATTATCCTCACGTTCTGTTGTTGCAATCAAATGGACAGTTTGAAGGTATCTATAGAGTCCTAATCAGGGCACTATCATCCAGGAAAGAAATACAGCACATGATATGTGGAAGATTATTACATCCTAGTGATGTGGTGTAACGATTCAATTGTTTGTAATTTTGTGGAATTTGCTTTTGTTTTCAGAAATTATGTTAGACAAACTGAAAGAAATGAGATGAAATTGTATGAATCTTTACCAAGGTAGAGCCTACTCAATAAATGTAATAAGTAATCTGAGCCTGTTCTATCCTTTTGAGAAAAACCACAAATCACATTGAAAGTCATTTTGACATTTCAGTATTTTAATTATTTTTTAGATATATTAGAATGTGATAATGCTGTGAATATTATTATTTTACCTTAGTCTTCCTGAAGATTCCATGTCTCTTATAAAAGCTTTGGAAATGGTCCAATTCTTTGCAATAACCTGAAACTGACCTGCACTACATTGCAGTGGAAAGAGCCACTATTTTATTTATAGTCACCAGCTCACACACATTTACTTTTGCTAGTCTCCCGAGGAGCACAGAAAACTGTCCTACAAATTTAACATAGGAGAAAGTATATATAAGATAACTTCCTACTTAGAATTCTTTCTTTTTAATGCGTAACTCACTTCAACTCAATATAGATTTGCATTAACTCTAGGTCACGTGCTATTGTAAATATAATAACATAAGACTTCATCTTTTTTGTTATACAGATCAGTTATTTCAGAGCTCTTTACAAAATTTTTCAAAATTCATTAAAAAAAAAATCTTGCTTTTCCCTTGGGAGGTTGGAAATAACCTTATTTCCAAATAAAGGAGACACTTTCTTCTACCTTGTTTCTGGAATTTCCCTATGTAACCTTGGACATTCCCACCTATTGTTTCTTTAAAACAATGCTATTTTATTTTCTTTAAAACAATGCTACTTTTCAAAAAAGTTGTTGAAAGCCAGGCAATTCACTGAACAACACAAGGAAGGTGGTCCAAATCATGATCAGATGCGCAGTCTTCTCAAGAGACCCAGGTTGTTTGGTCTGGAAGGATGAGAGCAGGATCTGACTCCCAGAACAGGGAAGGCATGGGAATGAAGAGAATTTGGCAGGTAGCATGTTCACCTAACAGAACAGCAGTAAGGTAAACATCGAGGGAAGGTGACACAGACTTCTGTAGAAGTCCAGTCAGTTAAAAATTGAGGCTGCGCAGTGTGGGAAGGAAAAGGATTCAGACCAAAGGTAGGAGAAGGGCTGGTGAGACCCTGATACTGCCAGAAAGGTATTCCCAGAAACTGTCCTGCAGGCTCCAGGGCAGTTCTTAGACACATATCTCAATGATAAAAGTTTACAGAGAATGTTAAGACGATAGAACTGATGATCCACTAGTCCTTGTTATTAGATACATGTAGATCTGAGATAGGGGGCAGGTAGGAAGGATGGAAAGATTTTTTTAAGAATATAGGAGGAATTTTAGACAAGCTCAAAATAACTTGTGTACCTTCTGTTCTTGACATTCTATAACTTCTTGATTATACCTGTTTATTTCCAACCATAGAAACAGAATTTACAAATTTTAGCCTAAGGGTCCTGATAGAGTATTTTTTTATAAGAAATAGCTTCTCATTTTTAATTTCACACGTATGAGATTTTAATGTTTAAATTATTAAAATAATTTTATATACCAATTAATAAATCATCCATTATGGATTCCATTATGGATTTCCAAGGAGATAGATTCTGATTACCAGTAACCTATCCTTTCTATGAAAGAATGAGATAGAGAACTAAAATATATTCTTTAAATCTGGAATATTAACTTCCCATATAGAGGAGAACTCTTTCATCTTAATTAGATTTATGTCAGTGTGAATATTAGTTCACTTATAAAGATAAGTGAATAAAGGTCTGATGTATATGCAAGTTTCACTGAATGCAATCTGCCTCTCTAATATCTTTAACAGAGAGATTTTGAGATATATTTAAATGTAAAATTTCCTCAGCTCCCATTTTACTATAGCTCACAATAAACAAAATGCCACTCTGATATATGGATTAGGTTCCTTCTTGAAGAAATTTTTCAATTTTGATATACACAATAATTGATTTGCATAACCCTACAATGTCCATCTCAGACAGGAAACAAAAATTTCTTAAAGAGAAATTGTGGCCAAATAGTGGCTTTTCTTGGTCCTTTAAACTTTGCCACCTCATAAAAAGTAGAGTGAGATCTTTATAAATAACCAAAATAAGAAACAGAACTCTATTCCCCCTCAATAGCTAACTCTAAGTTTCTTAGCTTTATGATTCTTCAGGTAGTAATTTGTCTTTATATTTATCTAAAAGAAATCAGAGTAGTTCTCAACTTAGAATTACAGGGAATAGGTGACTATATAAAGAGTAAAAAAAAAAAAAAAAAAA